TAAACAAGCATGATGATCTCTGTTTCACAGGCACTAAAATTAATGAGTTTAGCAACATCAGTATAAACATATAAATTGAGCCCTGGCTCAGTTGGTTAAAGCATCATCCGACACATGAAGGTTGTGGGTTTGATCCCCACTCAAAGCTCATTCAAAAACCAAAGGATGCATAAATAAGTGAATATTTCTCTTGCTCCAAAATCAATAAAAATTTAAAAATATATAAATTGGATGTTTCTGGCCAATTAACACTCAGAAGTTGAGTGAATTAAGAAAAAATTTAAGTGTTACAGTATCATTTTTTAAAAAGTTAAATCTGACCATGTGTCAGGGTTTATTTCTGGACTCTCTTCTATTCCATTGGGCTGTGTATCTGTATTTATGCTATTTCCACACTGTTTTGATTTCTGTAGCTTTGCAGTGTAGACTTGCTTTTTATATTTTTAGATACCCACACTCTTTTTCTGGCTCGTGTTGAGTTCTTTTAATCCTTAAGTGTTGCCTGAAGAGACCAGCACTCTCTGTGGCACCCAAATTTAGCCAGGACACAGGGACAATTGTACCATCAGGAACAGGGAAAGGCGCAACAAGCAGGTAAGTCATTTAACACGATGTCTGGTTTCTTTGGAAAAGAAAAGGCACGACCTAGAGTGAAACTGTTTGCCTTTATTCAACCTTCATGTGTTGAATAATTTTGCATTTATTCAACATAAATGAGTCATTAAGATAAAATACAGTTCATCCATGTGCAGAAATATTATACATTCAATTCTGAAGAAGGTAGCTTTATACAACCAATGAAAGGAAGTCTAAAAATGAGAGGAATAAAGAGGACATTGAGGAGCTAATTGGCAGTTTTATGTGTCAAAGTGCTAAGGCCTCTGTGCACAAGGATTTTAAAGTGAACAAGACCAACATAAGGTCATTTCTTCCATTCTGATTTCTCTTGGTGCTGGTGAAGGTCTTCCGGTGTGATACAGTGAGTAATGGGATTAAGATGGGTTTTTGAAGAATAGATCATAGCACTGATGGCTAAGAAAAAAGATGGTAAGTTCTAGAGTCATTTGTCATGTACTCTAGATCTTTCATGGACTCTATGTTGTGAAATCTCTAAGAATAAAGTTGCCCTTCCAACAATAGTTTATTATCAGAGATCAAATGACCAGGTTCTACCCAGCTCAGAGTCGATCTCCTTATGCAACAAAAGGGAAACCAAATTTGAGGCTCAGGAAGAATTCCATTAATTTAAAGCAGGTACAGTGATTGCATGAAGGTTCAGCGAAGGTCACTACTAAGATCCTCAAATTGTCCACAGCCTAAAATAAAAAAAATTTATGACTCAGGGTCAAAGACCAACTTCATCATTCCTAAGTTCTAGGTATCTGAAAACATTAGACACCGGTTTTTGAAAAAAGATAAAAATTGATTCAAGAAACATAAAATTTTATGTACCATAATTTCCATAGGAAGAGCACAGATTGGGTGTGAAATAACAATTCTAAAGTATTTTCATATATTTTGATAACATTTAATGCATTGTTTTCTTATTTGGCTAACCTGAATTTTAAGTATTTAAATAGAGGGCCCATGATTAAAATTAATAAAATTAAGTGTTGACAGAAGTTGGTTTAATAATATTTTATGAGCCAATGTCTGGGTCATTTAACAGACACAGGTGCACAACCCTAAATCGTGTTCAGAGGTTAAAGCTGCTACCACAATTCAATTGAAAATCCACAGGGGGGATGAGGAAAATTATGTGATACCATAATCAACAAAGAAAATTTTTTTTAAAAATCCACAAAATGCCTCCAATCAAATTCCATGTTCCACTGATGGCAATTAATTTTCAGAACCCAAAACTTTAAAAATAATAATTTAAAGTTTACTTAAATCTAGCTTACATCTAATCTTGGGTTTACAGTTCTTCCCTAGGCATTCTCAAGGCTTGCAGTCAAGATAAAAATCAGATGTTTTTAAATATCTCCTTTTGAGTTTGAAGAACCAAAAAACTCGAGTTTAAAGTTCCTCTACAGGAGAGCCCACCATGTACTCACAGCCTCCCTCCACAGCTGATCATCTCTGGCTCTCTTCCAGGTTGTCTGCCCTCCTGTTAAAAGGAAATCTTTCTAGGAGATTCCCTTTTTAGGTTGAAACTGAAAGCTACATGGAAGTATAGAGATTCCTTAGTTTTTAGTCTCTATGAAAGAAGCCCAATCTTCAGGTTAAGGTCACCAAGTACTAGGAAAATATAGGATATCCACCCTCCTACTTCCTGGACAGAAATGAGACTACGTACCTTACAGCGGAATACACCTAATACTTCTTTGACTAAAGGTAAATATGGGTATTTTTGGCATACAGAATTCAAGTTGCCCATACAGTAACACAGGTTAAAGACAAATGGTAAGGAAAACCCAATAAGCACCGATCAGATACAATGACATTCTTCTGAAACCTTCTACCAGAGTCTCAAAGAATTAGGATTTGGGCCAGTTAAAAGGGCTGAGGCTAGGCTGAAGCCTCTTTTAATTCAAGTTTCATAACTTACAGATCGAAGGGGGGAAAGCCAAGTCTACAACATTGGAGTAAAAAGAACTATTATCTATTGAAGAAGAAAAAAGGGGTGCAATATCCCTTCGGAGACACGCTGCCTTCTCACCAGGTACCAGATGAAGACCAAGGTATGATTTTTTATTCCCTTTAGCTTCTTTCGGGTTATTTGCCCACTTGTTATTCAGAAGGGTTCATTAAACATAAGCTAAAGCATCTTTACTGACATACCGACAGGAATTAATTGAAAGGAATTGCTTTTGGCCTGATTATTTCATCAATTTAGCTATTACTAAGAGACTTTTAAAAATATATATATTTTATTGATTTTTCACAGAGAGGAATTGAGAGGAATAGAGTTAGAAACGTCGATGAGAAACATTGACCAGCTGCCTCTTGCACACCCCCCACTGGGGATGTGCCCGCAACCAAGGTACATGCCCTTGACCGGAATCGAACCAGGGACCCTTCAGTCCACAGACCGATGCTCTATCCACTGAGCCAAACCGATTTTGGCTACTAAGGAGAATTCTTAAAATTCCTATCAATTAAATCTTCCAATGAAAGTTCTCAAAAAAAAAAAAAAAAAAAGGTAAATTAACATGGCTCCTGACTTCCACATTGTTGTCTCATCTCGGTCGATGCCTCTTTTCTTCATGGTTTGCCACTGTTTTGCTCAGTGTCTCAAATGCTTCTATTTCATAATTCACTTGCAATTAAATTTCCAACCTGTCTTGGGAAATACGTAGCATATATTACTCCTTGAGCCCTGCATTAGACATATGCTGTGTGGTTGCTGCGTTAGCAAGACCTTTCACAATTTACATGGCTGCTTTTGTTTACCAAGACTTCCACAGTGCTTAGTACATGTCGGGGTTCAATAAATATCTGAACTAGCAAACATTTGTACACAAACGGCTGGAAACAGTATGCAAAATTTGATTTCGGAAGACCACTTGTAGTCAAGTAGTGTCCAAAGCAATGAACACAGGTTTCTAAGACTGTGATGTCAATAAACTTGAGGATTCAAGTTGAAGCTGTGCCCTGGTATAGTGCCCTTTCCCTCAATTGCAGACCAAATGTACCTTTAGGCTCCTATGTCATTACCTGAATGAAAGTTTTACTTCCAGTGAGGTAGGAGGCCCTTTTAAATAATATGTACTAGAAATGAGGTGGGGGAGGTCTTTGTAAACCGTCACCATGGACTGGTTCACACACATTTAAATATTTCACCTTCCTTCCTATCTATCATATGTGGGATTATGGAGACGCAGATGTTCCCTGAGACTTAAGTAATTTTATTTCGAAATACAATAGTATACCGTATTTTTCGGACCATAAGACGCTCCGGACCATAAGACGCACCAGTTTTTAGAGAAGGGAAATGAAGAAAAAAAGATTCTGAAACAAATAGTGTCCTAAAATATTTTATGTGCATTAAAACCCAACATCACAGTCATAAACACATGTAATCAACCCTGTAAAGTAAACAGCAGCATTTAGAACCATTTTAGAGCCGGGCAAGCACACAGAGACCACACAGAGCCGGGCAAGTAAAAAAACTTTTTTTTAAAAGTATATGTGTAGGCTATATTTGGACCATAAGACGCAGGGACTTTCCCCCCCCCACTTCTGGGGGGAAAAAAGTGCGTCTTATGGTCCGAAAAATACGGTAATTCCAGTAAAGATTTAGAGTTCTGTTGTTTTGGACAGTTACTAGGAAACTATCTTCAGGCAATCCTAACATGAAATTCCAATTTTTGAAAAATAGTAAGGCTCTCTTTTTAAAGCATTCTATGTATCCTTGTTAATTTCCAAAATATGCTATTATCAGTGAAAATAACCACAGCTGAGCAAATTTGGGGTGAACTACCGTACACAATAGTCATTTTCATGAATCATTAAGATATATTCTTGAAATTCTGACCTCATAAATCTATTATTCATTTTAAAAGAACGGGCTACCTACCACATACCTTTATCTCCAGACTATCTATCAATAGTTATCACTTGGTTTCCTCAAGCGTATCCTAAAACTAAGTATTTTAACCACAAAATTACTTCTCTTAATCAGGATCCCAGGTTATCTTGAAGTATGGGACAATGTTCAATGAACGTCTTCTAACATCTGGCTCAGTCATTTTCACAAATGCCCTTCCTGACACTAGGGAGATCAAATTCCACGTTCACTTAGCTCTCCTACCTCTCCAGATCAACCTGGGATAGAAAACTGGCTATGAAACTCCTTTCTCAGAGAAAAAATGGGAAACAGTAAGTGTTCTATTATCTTCATGAGATTATTTCTCCACACACCCATAGGCCAGGAAGGTGTTGGCAGTGAATGTTAATGAATTATTAACTAGTGTGGAGAAAGGAAAACCTATTTTCCCCCAGAGAGATTTTCTTACCATTGTTTTAGAAGCAAACAATGAGCATATTTGTTTTTAAAAAAGAATGCATGTAGGGTTTTACTGTTTTTATTTTCCTAGTGACATTAGATGGTTAGGAGACAGAACAGTTTAAGGGTGAAAATAGACGGACAGATTGAGAGAATTCAATGTTTTTACTATAGTTCTGAAATAAATGTTACCTGGATTTATCACCAAAATTACTCATTTCACTCCCCTCTACACAACCTGTGGTACTCTCCCAATAGTAATATAAGGCAACTGAGGGCCCTTGCCCACATCACTCAGATACATGTCAGGACTCGAGATTCACTGAAGACTCCAGTCTTTATTTTCACTTGAATTATCTTTTACTTAATAAAATGAAAAATAAGAATATACGAATACACACAATCTATATACATATATTTATTGCAAATACTTAAAGTTCTTATGTAAAATGATTTTTCTATATTTGTGAAAAAATATGACTTTTTAAATGGTGTTGACACCAACTTTTCTGTACATACCCTCAATTCCAATGTTAACAATTCCTTTAAAAAGGCAAAAAGACACAAAAGTTTAGCTTTTACCAAACCAGTCTATACAAACCTTATAGCCAGGAGGGAAAAAAATAGCTTGTGGTAAATAAGTCAATTTTTCTTTAAAATAAAAAATTAACTCCAACCCCCTTATTGCATTTTTTGGAAATAATCTGAATGTCTTTAGAGTAACTTCCTTTGAAATTGTTTGTGCCTTAACAGTGAGGTCCTACATTACACATACCATATATGAGAAATTCAGTCTTCCACTGTTATTTTTTACATAGATATTAAAATATATATTACTTAAAATATATTACTGGAAAGCTATTTTTAAAATTGATCTTTAATAGTTGTATCAAATGTAAAGCATTAATAAAAATAAAGTAACCAATAATCTATGCGGCTCTTCAACTTTAGAAACGTTTTTACCTATTGTTTTCTTTCAATAGGTATGTAGGTATTGAAACATGGTAGGAAAGGTCTCTGTCTATCATCATGTTTCTCAGTCTCTTTGGACTCGTCTATAAATTGAGCTGAAAACCACCATTGGCCAAGTTTTTACTTCGCACACTGCTGTAATGCAATGGGAGACTTTCCCTCCTTGGCGTGAAATCAAACTTCTAGGTGACAGAGAACAATCCTGGCACCGCTCACTGACAGCGAGTTCTAGAAATAAATAGTGTAATGACCAGAGAAGACCCCCTAATCACAACAAATCATTTCACCCGAGTTTTTTTTAAAGGACTCTAAGGCAGAGAATGGCAATAATAAGCAATTAGGATGATGACTATCAGGTCATTAATATGCATGATTTACTCCTTCACCTGGAAGGCAATGAGGTCTTCCTTTGGCTATTTAAATCAGATAGCTTCCTAAAACAACTACATCTGTGTGCCTTCCCAGCCCATGCAAGTATGCTTCTCCTACCCCAAGTAAAAATACACGTCAGGTCTGATTCTTTAAAATGTTACAGGGGCTACCACAGACAGCTTTAGTATCTTGAGCACAGGAGTTAAGGAATAAAAGCAGAGCAAACAACTCCAGGTTATTTGGCTTTATTCTCTGTTTAACAGGATGGAGAATTTTAGTCAAAATTCTTTAAGACTCTGGGAGCCTCTTTACCAGATGACTCCATACTCCTGAGTGAGACTGAGATGACATGCTGTTAGTGCCTGCTCCCCAAGGTGACCTGCAGTGTGGTATGGGGAGCACACCCTGGAGGCATAAGCATCAGGCAAAATGCCCGACAAGTCACTCGAAACAGTGCAACTTAGTTTCAGAAAAATAAGCTTAGCACTTACTAGGTTGATTTAAAGGTAAATTATGAAAACCTAAAATAAAAATTGCTTTAAAGGCACTGGAGTGCCATACTTTAATAATTTTGATTTTTCTTGTTCCTTCTGCCTTATTTTCAAGATAATTTTCTTCTCTATTCAGTTCATGGCTTTCAACTTGAAACCACTGTTTTCAAACAAACTGATATATGGGTTGTATTCAGTTTACTACCAATCTAAGAAACCATTCTCTCTTTTGGTCAATATTGAGGCAGTGTACCCAGTTGACAATTTATGCTTTAGGGGCAGTAATAAAGGCAGGTATTTTATTAGCTGGGTATTATATTACTTCTGAAGAAAATCTTGTGAACAGTAAATCCTAGGACCATCTGCAAGAGTGTGGGTCAAGATGAAGAGGCACGGAATGGTTTGCTCTCTAAATGAACTTGAATATCCCTGATCCTTTCCTGGTTAGTCTATCCACCCTCAGCTTAAAGGAACCACGGAGCAGACATTTTCTATTTCAGGAAAGTTGTGAAGAAGAAAAGCCACATTAATTAACCCCAATTGGTAACTAACTGGCCAGTTCTAAACTCTCAGAAACTTCCAGCACACAGTCCAACCTCCAGTCTGCCACTCACGTGGGGGGTGCAGAAGCTGGGCTTGGGCAGTTCTAACCAGCATTAGGTCTCTCAGGTTCCCCCTGAATTCCCCAGGGCAATGCAAATTTGGGAACAGAACCACGGTCTCTGTTTGCTACTGGTTCTCAGCTGGAGAACTTAACCCTTATCCCTGGGTCCTTGCAGCTTTCATTTCTCTTAGCTCTGTTAGAATGACATATTGTCTCGGCTGCAACAAGAACATAGATATTAGTCCTCTATTTGCCTTGGACCACACAAAAAACAGAAGCAAAAAATGAAAATTAGTGAAATAATGAGTCTCTTAGGGAGTACGAAAATATTAAGAGTGTATAATAACATGGAGGAAGGAGAAGACAGGGTAGCAGAATGAAAGCAAAGCCAAGATTATTACTGCTACTTTCTCCTAATCTGGAATGTGACTTAATTAACAAGTTTACACTGTTCTGCATGTTATAAATATCACATCCTGAATATTAAGTACAACTACAACTGTACTAGTTATAGTACTTTTACTTTACACACTTGGAATTAGAAAACTTGAAATCAATATGCAAATGATGCACGTTGACAATACCCAATTTTAAAATATCAAATTCTGGTAAATGGTAGGCTTATTTTAATGTTCTTTAACCATGACCTAAATATATGTACTGGAAAATTCTTTAGTTGCTAAATACAGGCTTAAAAACATAAGGACACAAAAAAGAATAAAAACAAACAACGAAGTTTTAGAGGTAATTTCTCTCCTTTCTAGATGTTCCCCTATCCCAGTGGTCGGCAAACTCATTAGTCAATAAGAGCCAAATATCAACAGTACAACAACTGAAATTTCTTTTGAGAGCCAAATTTTTTAAACTTCTAACGCCACTTCTTCAAAACAGACTCGCCCAGGCCGTGGAAGAGCCACACTCAAGGGGCCAAAGAGCCACATGTGACTTATGAGCCGCAGTTTGCCGACCACGGACCTAGTCATTTACTGAAGCCCCTTCACATTAAAAATTTCTAATGCGTAGACAGCAGAAATCCAAAATGGGACATATTTCCTAAAACAGGAAAAGTGTCTGACTTTTATTGTATATGTCAGTGCATACATGTCTTCAAATATATTACTCCATACTCCTCAGATGCCTGGGAAGTCAAAACAGGTTTATCAGAATGGGCAAATGTGGCACTTATGAGCTTACTACCTGCAGCAAGAGCTGACTATAGAACATTAGGTAATGTGTTGGAAAAAAAGAGGCTTCCTTGTTTCTAATGTTAAAAATCTTACCCAAATATCTTTGTTGTTTCTACACCTTTACTCACCTTGCCCAACAAAACACATAATTCAAACGACCCCAGCACTAACACCTTCCTGTTCATTTTATACTAGCATTTCAAACCTGTTGTAAGCTCCCATGATTCCGCCCTTGGGTTATTGCTGGAACTGTTGCCCCGCCCAGGCTGTAGTACCAGCAGGGGCCAGAGAGGGGCCACCTTCACTATCTCAGGGCAGGGGATTAGGCAGCAGCAGGGTCCACAAATCACATACAGTGTGCTTGGCAATAGTACTGGCTTATGGAAGCCAAGAACCAAGTCAAGAGCTTTCAGAGTCTGAAGCACTCGCTGTGAAATGAATACCTTATCAAAAACCTGAACTTAAGACTCCATCTAAAGTAAAGGGACTTAGTAAACCCTGAATCCATATTCTGGAAAGGCTGAATAAACCATGGCAGATGGTTAAGACATAATCTGCATGAAAGGTCATTTCTCGTTCACGCCTTCCTCTTCCCAGCCTCTCAGGAAAGGACAGAAGGCAAACAAGCTTCCTTCCACCATGCATGGCATTAAACTTAAGAGTCACATGAAGTAGACCATAGATGTGAATTAAAAGTAATACATCATTACCTAAACACTTGGAAAAACAATGTTTAAACAAAATGTGACATATTTACATGATTTCGTAAGTGCAAACTTGTCACAAATTCACAAAGTCTTGCTGACTTAGACTTACTATACAAGGTGCTCTTCCTCTAAAATGTAAGATCTGTACTCTGTATACCTGATTAAGTAACATTTGTCTCTTGACAACTGAAGTCTACTTGTTTATTTCTGTGATTCCAAAAGGATGCAAACACACAGCCCGACAACCCTTCCCTCGGCCTCCCTCACAGTGTGCTTTTTACCCGTCACCGAACCACCAGGCAGGACACACACAGTTTGGAGGGGCCAATGCAGTCATCATGGCAGAAGGCTCCGCACCCTTTGCACATGATCATGGCTTTCAATCGGCAGTAACACTTCGAAGGCGTGTCCTCTATGCTGTTCTCTTCGGGAAATGCCTGAACAGGAATGGTCTGGCCGTGGCTGCTGGGATTCATAGCTTGGCTAGCAGGGATGGTGGTGACAGTCACTGAAAAGGACATGACATCACCTACGTTGCTAGATACCTGGCCACAGTCAGGCATCCCCGGAACAGCAGAGTTATGGTCCATGTCAGACGAGGTGGAGACGTTGATCATGCCTCGGTAGCTGGGCCCAATCTGTGTGGGGCTCCCGTACAGCTTTGGGGTTTGCAGTGGTGGGAGGAGGAGAGGCTGATGAGTGGGACTGTCTGCAGGTGGAGGAAGAGCAGTGGCACTGAAAACCTCGGGGCTGCTATGCATTGCCTTACCTCTCGCTGCATGAGCCATCTGCTGCTGTGCTGCCTGAATTAGATCTCTGGCTAGGGTCTTTTCATCAAATGTTTGGCCTCTAGTGAACAGATAATTCTCCTTGTTTAAAGCAGTTTGCACTGGTGTCTCTACCTTCACATTCTTTTTAGCTAAACAATCAGTGGGTAGGGTTTCTCTACTGTGGGGTCCTGAACTTGCTTCACACTTGCCAGAACTCTGGGAAGCTGGGTGCTCCTCCTTCACCATGGCCGATTCTTCTTCATCAGCAGTACTTTCCTCATCACTATCTTCTTTGTCGCTGCTATTCTCTCCCATTTCATTTTTACAGTCTGCATATCCCATTTTCAAGGCTTCAGTGGGGCTACTTAGACAAAAACGATCTTCCGGGTTTACGGAATGGGTCCTCCTGAAGCTCTCCGAACCCCGGCCGTAGGTGGAAATGTTAAGTAAGTAGTGTCCTGCCATTGCAGGCTTCGAAGTCCTTCTGCCAGCAAAGCCCAGCATGAACCGCTGGCTCGTGGAGATGTCTTCTAACTGGAAACCTGAGTGACTGAAGTTGAACTGGGAGGGCTGCACAAATGAGAGAACATTGTGCCTCTGAATATGAACCCTCTGGATGAGAGTCTGAAGGATCTGATCTTGGGCTATTTTACTTATTCCTTCTTGGTGTATGTCAATGCTGGGGTCCCTCAGATCCTTACCTGAAAAGAGCTGAAGGGGTCTGGGAACCTGGGAGAGATGCTTACTTTGCAAGGTTTTACCCAGCTGCTGCATAGCTGGGTGAGAAGGCCTCTCATGAACTTCCTCTCTGGTGCTATTTTCTGTTTTGTTGGTGCCTGTGGGTGCTCCTATCCCTATTTCCTCTTTTGCAGTCAGTGGAACAGTTTTCATTTCAACTTTGGTGAGTGGTTTAGGCAGAATTTGCTCCATGGGAACATCTTTGCCCTGGAGCAGCTGAGTGACCAGAGGATTATTAGCAGGGATACTTGAGCTTGACCGTGAAATGGGTCCATTCATATTTGAAGAAGTTCCTGGAGTTTTAAGGCTAGAAATTGCTGGCAAAGTGCTTGAGGATGGAACTGGTCCGGGAGGTGCTACAGTTCCACTGACCTGGGGTATGGAAAGCTTTTCTAAAGTGGCTGCTATCAATAAAGATGTTAAACGGGAGGAAGTCATATCCACTGAAGCTCTGGCAGTAGTCTCTGCTGAAGCTGAAGTGTTAGGTGTACTCTTACTACAACCTGCTTTGGGCTCAACTGTGCCATCAGCTGCAAAGTGAACAGGTGTAGCACCTGAGATTAGAGCAGGGCCTGCTGGAGCAGAAGGTAACTTCTCCTGCCTGCAGTGACTGGGCCCTTGTGGGTGGCTGAGAGAGGCCGCTGTGGCTGCTGCCCTGGTGGCATTCAGTTTCTCAATATTCAATTTCCCTACAGTTGGTGGGGGTGGGTTAGTGTGAGCTAGTGATGGGACACTTGTGCATGCTCCACTGATGGCAGATGTTGGAGGCACTGAGGGGGTTTGCTGTAGTTGTGCTCTAGAGACACTAAGAGGCTGTGGCTGGCCTGGGGACTTGGTCTCAGATTGGGGCTGAGTCTCTGAACCACAGGGTAAAAGCTCTCTCGGACCTCCCCTGCTTCCAGTTCCTGCCAGTTCCAGTGTGGGGCCCTTTCCAGTTTCTCTGACTCTGTCTGAGTCTGGATTCCCTCCTCTAGCGGTTTTCCTTTCACCACCCTCTCCTGGACCTTGTCCACCCCCTGGGCCAGGTCCTGGAATGGTCCCTCCAACTGAGGCGGCGGCGGCAGCGGCGGCAGCGGCGGCAGCTGCTGCCCTCTGTGCTTTGACCAGCTGGGCTTTTGCTTTGATGTCGGCAAGAGTTCTGGCTCCTGTTCTGTTAGGACTAGTGATGGAGATTGGAAAACGAGCCCTGGGAGAGACCTGCGATGTAGGAAACAGCATGGGGGAGATTCTGGAGACCGGGATCTGAAAGAAGTAGGGGAGGAAACAACAGAGCTTAGTTTCATTTACAAGAACAACAAAACGTTATTAGCATACTTTAGAATAGGATGAACATTACACCACCTGTGACAAAGATGGGAAGTTTCCAATAAGAGACCAAATCATGGAGACAGCAACACAATTTTTATATACATTTATAACATTTGTAATAAAATTTCAATTTTGTTTTTCTACCTTAATTTTGTTTAAAAGATATTCTGTTATAAATGACTTTAAGGTTTGTCTAAGAAAGCAGGATTTGAAATAGAGTCTAAGGTAAAATTAGAGTTAGTAAAGCAACTTCTGGTACAAATTCTTTTTTGGAGGGATGAAGAAGGAGAAGAAACTAAAAGGAAAAAAGTTAAATAGTATTAGCTTGGTGACAATGGATTTAAGTTTTCAGCATTGAGTCTCTTAGGATTAGCAAACTATGATGTAATTCGGCCTCTTTACAGGTAGGAAATAGAAAGGATGGATCTCACCAAGTATCATTGGTATAAAATAAAATCTAAACACAACTCAGCTCTCAGGACTAGAGATTAGTTTGATTAACATTCATTAAAGAAAGGTTTCTAGCCCTAGCTAGTTTTGCTCAGTGGATAGAGCGTCAGCCTGTGGACTGAAGGGTTCAGGTTTGATTCTGGTCAAGGGCACATGCCTGGGTTGTGGGCTCGATCCCCAGTAGGGGGCGTGCAGCAGGCAGCCAATCAATGATTCTCTCTCATCATTGATGTTTCTATCTCTCTCTTCCTCTCTTTCCTTCTCTGAAATCAATAAAGATATATATTTTAAAAAAGGTTTTTACTATCTTTATAAGAATAATAAAAATAATTATCGTATAAATGAGAATATCTGGCAAAGCATGGTAGAATGTTAGTGGTAGAAAATTGTCAAAAATAAGGAGAGATTCCTAAGTAATGAAACCATAAATGGTAAAAATAAAAGTAATGAGGAATATCATACTTTTAGTAATAAGAGGCAAAATGAGAAAAGAAGTCATGTGGTACATGATATGGGTCAAGTACTAGTAAATGAATGCTTCCACAGGATATTTCCTGACAAAAAAAATAATTTTGATTCACCTAAGTTAAATAAAAGAGGGGAGAGGGGAAGCAGTATTTCTATATGGCTTATTAATACCCAGTGCCTCATAGTAGACACAATGGTATTAATAAATACTATTAATAAATATTATGTATTAATTAAATAAATAAAAGGACTGCAAACTAATATTAAGCACAAGCCCAAGAATTAATAAACCTTTAAATTAAAAGTAGAAATGTATTTGGGTTTTCAAAGGTAGATTATTGATTAGATGCAGTCTTTATATACAGAGAGACATTGCTATAAGAATTTGAAAGATTTGACAGATAGAAATATAAGGTTAAAAAAGAAACTAAGACATATCCTAAGCAGTAGAGCTTAGCAACACTATGCCATCTTACCAATGTCCTTCAAGTAACCAATGGTGACTCATGGTAGCCACATATTTCCTTTAAAAGGATGGACTAGCCCAACCAGTGTGGTTCAGTGGTTGAGCATCAACATACGAACCAGGAGGTTACAGTTCAATTCCCAATCAGGGCACATGCCTGGGTTGTGGGCTTGATTCCAAGTAGGGGTGGGGGGAAATGTGCAGGAGGCAGCCAATAATGTACTCTCTCATCACTGATGTTTCCACTCTCCCTTCCTCTCTGAAATCAATAAAAAATATATATATTTTTAAAAAAGGATGGACTAAAGATAGCTCTAGAACCACACATCACATAAGTTATAATAGTAAGGAAAAGGCCAGGGTACACTTCAATATTATGGCTTTTGGATCACACCAATGGCCTCATGTTTATCATTATACTTCTTACTAGAAGTCTGGTGCACAAATTTGTATACCAGTGGGGTCCCTCTGCCTGGCCTGCAGGATTGGGCTGAAACTGACTCTCCAATGTCCCGCTAGGGGTCCCAGATTGGGAGAGGGCACAGGCCAGGCCGAGGGACCCCACAGATGCATGATCGGCGCTGGGGAGAGACACAGGAGGTTGGCCAGCAGGGGAGAGACCACGGGAGGGCTCCAGGGCATGTCAGATCCACCCTTCTCAGTTCTGATTGGCCAGACCCCAGCAGCAAGCTAACCTACTGGTCAGAGCATCTGGCCTCTGGTGGTCAGTGCACATCATAGCGCCTGGTCAACCATTTGACTGTCTGCCCCCTGGTGGTCAGTTCACATCATAACAAGCGGTTGAGTAGCCTCAGCATATCATACTTTGATTGGCTGAATGGCCAACCAGTCGACCAGACACTTAGCATATTAGGCTTTTACTATATAGGATTTTGCCACATGAGACAATAATTTCCATAACTGTCTTAAGATACAAAAGTAGCCATCACATATCCAGGTACCTTACTTAGTCAAACACAAAGATCTGTAGGAATGTAGTCTAAATAGCTTATTGACAATTTTGTTTATATAAGACCACAGTTGTCTTATATGAATATATACAACTGCTTCTACCATTAAAAAATACCAAATTACTTCACATTTGATAGGCATGACCAAAAACGTAGTGTTGAGGCCACCTCTCTCTTTCCGTTCGGTAAGTTCTCTTACCTTGAGAGGTGGTACTCTCCGCACTTGGAACCTGTCCCCTCTACTGAGAAAGGGCTGTGGGGAGACTTGAAATGGCTGCTGGTGCTGGCGATTCTCAGTGACGCGCGGCCTCTTCTCCCCGCTTGTAGGGGCCTCTTCCTGGGTGAGAGATTTCCTCTTGAGGCTTTCTGGGCTGTGTTCAACCAGAGCTGGTGAAGGCTCTTTCATAGTGGCCTCCTGCGGATCTGCTTCTGTGATGGGCTTCATTATCGGTTTCTCTACTCCAGGACTCTTGGGTTTGCTTGGAGACTTAACTGAAGCTTCTTGGCTTTCATTTTTGTTATAATTAGAAGCTGTAGTGAGATGATTCTCTTTCTCAGATTCCTGTTCAGCAGAGGCAACTGGCTTCTGCCCCAAGACATCCTCACCCTCTGGGCACTTGATGGGGAGAATGCTGCTACGCTCATTTGTATCGCTGGGAGAGGAAAGAAGGGGCTCTGAGGATTCGGGGTTTGGCTGCACCTTATCTCGGCTTTCGTGCTCTTCTTTTCTGACTGGGGATGGCATATGCACTACTTCTTCTTTAGATTCTGCCTGGGGAATTACAGGGATTATACTGACAGGAGGGACCTCTGAACGAAGCATGGATTTTGGTAGCTCAGCCGAGGATTTCTTTACATTAGGATCGCTGGGTGAAGCTGTCAATTTCTTTGAATCCTCAAGGCTCAGGCCGGAACTGAAAGGTGGAAGAAAGAAATATTCTAGTTGAGAAATAGCCCAAGTTATTGAAAGCATTATGAGATAATGGTATATGGCAATGTCTAGAAGAACCTGATGCATAATAGGTATCCTTCTTATATTATCTTCATCAGCAGCATTATTATTATTACTGAAGGTTCTGGAGCCAATACTGACTAGCCATGTTATATTAAGTGACTAGACTTTTGTACCTCAGTTTCTTCAACTGTGTACTGAGGTTAATCATTTGATAGCATTATTATGACAATTAACTAAGTAATGCATGTAAAATACTTAAGATTAGTACCTAGCCCATAATGAAAGCTCAATAATGTTCATTATTATTATTACTTCCTGTTTTAAAGGGGCCACACTATCTAGAGACATGCATCACGAACTATCCTCAAGGGAAGTGAAAGAAGGCCATGACCTACACACCCTGAGATTGTGGGTTTAGACTGGATCAACTCTGCTCTGCAGTTATCTATAGAAAGACTAGCTCCTAAAACCTGAGGCCCTAAGGAGATAATAGGAGTTGGCTGTCAATGTTCTCCAGAGGATGAGAATTACAATTCTGAATTTTTGGAAAGCCTATTTAATTTACTTGATATAGCTCTGTAATTCTGATATCCAGTGCCTCTAAGCTATTCTGGGAGTGGCCAAGTCTGGCCTGGCTAAGAACTAGGCTACTCTGTAGGGTTTGCTAGGGACTCCTAATGTTTTAGAATGTTGTTTAATAGGAAGCACTGGAGGTTCAGTGGTCGAATTCTTGCCTTCCATTTGGGAGACCTGGATTCCATTCCCAGCCTACAGGTTCAGTTTCTGGCCTATATATTCTAGAATATTGTTTAACAGGCAAAAACAAGGCAACCCTCCTTGGTGACTTCAAATAACCTGTACTGCACTTCTGAGATGAAATGGCTAAGGGCAAAACTGGACAGTAATCAAAAACAGCCCTTCTGTAAAAGCTGGCAAAAAGAGCTAAATACTGAAGGATCCAAGAACTGCCGTAATGCTCTATCTGCCTAATGAGGAGAGAATGAACAATATTTATGGAATACCTGGTATCTGTAATGATTATCTAATGTACACATAGCATCATTTCTATAGAACTCAAAACTCATACCAAGAATATAGAAAATTCAGTATATGAGACTCTTGATCCTAACAGGAATCATTTCCTAAATGACCATGAAGAAGATGTCAATGAATATTACTTGGAGATAAGGAAGAGAGCCAATAGTTCTCAAGCTGTGGTATGGAATCTCCTTAAGGGTTCCCATTTAGGTATGCAAAAGAAAGGGAAATTAACAAATAAGACTGGGTGTTCAATCCTATTTCAAACAATACAGCTCCATTGTCTCCTATTTCAATGTTCCCCCCATTTAGACTTCATCTGGATTTTTATTAGAAAAAAACTGATTTAGACTACAGCTTCTTGAGAACAGGATTTATATATTGTTTCAGAGTGCCTTCTATAAAGGAGAGGCTGTTTAATTAAACATTGGATATAACAGTCCTTATTACAGGATCCCTAGAATTCTTTAGTGATTCATATTGTGAAATTAAAAGTATTGCATGAACTATATAAAACTTCAGTATTTTTATATTTTATAAAAATACTGGGAGAAAAGCCAATCTACTTAAAGAGACTTTAATTCAAGATCATTAAAATCTTTTTTTTATTTAAAGAAACCATCCAACACAATGGCAATGTTTTACGAGTTAAAGATTATGACTAATCCAACTCTGTGTACTTGAGAATCGTAAAGAGAAAAAAATTTTCTCAGGAAAGAACTGTGAAAATATAGAAGGAAATTAAGGACTACATTTTCTGGGAAGGTAATAAGATGAAGCACCACATGACAGATCCTATCTTGATATTACCTCTGACCATAGTAGCTTTCAAAGAATTGCTCTTTCCATGGCTCTACTTTTTTCTCCTTCTCAATTTCTTGTCGAATTCTCACCTGCATCTCAGGTGTAAACTCACCTATAAATGTAAAAAAATATATATATACATATTCAATAGACATGCTGTTTGCCACTTTTAAATATTTATAAATCATGGAAGACTCATGAAGGAATCAGAATACAGTATTGTGAAAGCAACAAAAATGTGCCCAAATTCCTCACTGTAAAGTATCCAAGTGCCATTAAGAGCAATAAAAACACGTGTACACCACTCCATGTAGTTTTCAGTACGCAGCTGAGGCCAACTGGGCCTCTTCTCTGGACTTTCCTTGTAGTACCTTCCTGTTACTCCAAACGTATTTTCCCTACAGATTTCTTTTATCACGAATCTTGATTCTGTAATTGCTTTCCACTAGAAAACGCTCATGAGTTTTCAGTAAATAATGCCACTGAGCATTTTATTTTAAAGTTCTGTTTTTTCAAGGCAACATGTGCTTTAGGATTTTTATCTCTAACTGCATATTGAAATGCTGTGTCCATTAGAGGCATTTGAGATTCCAGTAAAAACATATGAAGTTACTTTGGACTTATCAGTTTTCTAATAGTACCAGTTTATTGCCCTAGAAATGAGGCATGCAAGATGCCAAAGACCAGCTCTGCATATGCCATTTATTTGTATCAACTACCAACTACCTCAATCCTTCCCACTCCATCAGCAGAAAACAGTCAATATGCTTGGTAGGCCGTCTTCAAACTCATGGCTCAGAAAGGTTTCTCCCTTTTATACTCTTATTAGTAGCATGGTGCACGTATTTGTGCACACTGAAAGGAAATTAATTAGAAGGAATAATTTAATGTCACTATAATTAGAAGGAATAATTTAATGTTTTTAAAAGGGCAAATGGTCTGAAAAGACACGTCTCCAAAAAGGACATAAAGATGAAAAATATATACAATAAATTAAATAACAATTTTAAGCCCTGGCAGGACCAAATAGTGTGGCTCAGTGGTTGAGTGTCAATCTATGAACAAGGTGTGGTAACTGTTTCCACTCCTGGTCAAGATACATGCCCAGGTTTCAGGTTTGATCCAAGTGGGGGGGAGGGGCATACAGGAGGCAGCTGATCAATGATTCTCTCTCATTATTAATGTTTCTCTCTTTCTGCCTTCTTCTCATAAATAAAAAAATATATATTTTTTAAAAGCCCTAGCAGAGTGGCTCAATTGATTGGAGCATTCTCCCCAACACCAAAAGATTGCAGGTTTGATTCCCGATGAAGGAATGTACAGGAGGCAACTGATCGGTATTTCTCTCTCACATCACTGTTTCTCTCTCTCTCTCCTCTCTTTGTCTCTAAAAATCAACTTAAAAAACAACAACATATCCTCAGGTGAGGATTAAAAAATATAATTAAAAAAATAAAGTATTAAAAAAAGTTGTTTTAGAGAAAGAAATGCTGAAGCTCAAACACCATCCTCGAGTAATAAAAACAAACTCATTAGAGTGGGTCCTAGCCATCAGTAGTTCGAAAAACACCACAGATGACTATAATGAACAGCCAAGGTTAAGAATTGCTAATATTGCCGAAACCGGTTTGTTTCAGTGGATAGAACATCAGCCTGTGGACTGAAAGGTCCCGGGTTCGATTCTGGTCAAGGGCATGTACCTTGGTTGCGGGCACACCCCCAGTCGGGGGTGGGCAAGAGGCAGCTGGTCAATGTTTCTCTCTCATCGACGTTTCTAACTCTCTATCTCTCTCAATTCCTCTCTGTTTAAAATCAATAAAAAAAATATTTAAAAAAAAAAAGAATCACTAATATGACTGATACTGTGTGTTGTCCGAATGCAATAAATCAATCGCTCTTTTATACTTTATAATTTACTCTCAGTAACTTTGTTAGATCAGAATTAAAAGCAAGGCATACATGGTAAACCAGTGACCACAAGCAGCAATTCTAAGTTATAATCTATTATTTATTAAAACCTCTGACTGCCACTAAACTATACACTTGTAACGGTAAGTTTTACAGTATGTAAACATTTTTCAATAATGCTGTTTTTTAAGAAGTCCTTAGTGATTCTTATCACTGTTAGTTTTATTGAGGTTGGGCAGTAATAAAGAGGTTATCTCCACTGCTTACCAAACCGTAATTCATAGCATCATAAAATAACTAATTCTATACTTTACTTTTAGGGAGCTTATTAGAATTTTAATTTGAATTCACCTAGAATTACTGAATCAGAATGTTTGGGAATAAGGCTTAAACATATGTACTCTTTAGTTTCCCAAGTGACTTTAAACCCTTAAAAGAAACATATTGTTGAACTCCATCTGAAGCCAAACCTGAATACATAAGTTCCTGATAAAAGTCTAGCAATGTATTTCATAAAATAAATGAAATAAGATAGCTAGTTTTACCTTATGGAAATACCTTGTCCTTTGCCTCCCCAAAGTGCTCCAATACCCTCTGAGGCACCAATATGTCCTCAGAGCAGCTCGAAGTGCATACACATGAAGGAGACAAGGTGGAACACTTACCTTCTGAGAGTCTTTCCTTCCAGCCCTGAGCTGCTGAGGTGAAGAACTCATTGTTAAGGGCTGAACCATTTAGCCTCATCAGACCATCTGGACCAACCTGGGTCAAAGAGTAAGCCAAGGAAAGCTTACAAAGAAAGCCAAACATTTCATGTGGAATATGACTTTTTTTATTTTTATTTTTATAGAAAAGAATGCATGTACATTCAATTTTATAGAAACATGACTATATCATATTATGCTGCTTATTATGAACACTACTTTATAAAGTAATCTTTTTTCTAAAAAAATTCTTTCCTTTTTACCTCTTTTCCCTTCTTCCTCTTTCAATTCCATTCCCCATTGATTAATTATTCTAAAGAGAAAACATCTGCAAAATTCATAAGAGTTTTTCTTCTGAGAGGTTTATTATTTGTTTTATAAAACTGTGACAAAGTTACATACACTGCTCTGAATCTCACTTGGTTCAGGAATACATTGTGAAAGTCTCTCCACAAGTCCACTGGTACAGTTTTAGCAACTTTGTAGTACCTGCATTGTATAACATACCTCACCTCATTTACCAATTTCCTATGCATATATTATACAAATACTTTGTTTCCCATGTTTTCCCATAATCAACAAAGCTGCAAGGGTAAAGATGAATATACTAGTGCTTTTATTTCTGTGGGATAGGTTCTGAGAGCAAAGAAATATTTATGTTGCCGAAACCGGTTTGGCTCAATGGATAGAGCATCGGCCTGCGGACTCAAGGGTCCCAGGTTTGATTCCGGTCAAGGGCATGTACGTTGGTTGCGGGCACATCTCCAGTTGGGGGATGTGCAGGAGGCAGCTGATCGATGTTCCTCTCTCATCGATGTTTCTAACTTTCTATCCCTCTCCCTTCCTCTCTGTAAAAAATCAATAAAATATATTAAAAAAAGAAAAAGAAATATTTATGTGTTATTAGATGTTATTTTCTGAAAAGGCTTAAACAATTCACATTTCAACTAGAAATATATGAGTATACCTTTTAACCTGTAAATAATAATACGAAGATGCTATTTAATTTTTGCCAACCCAATGGGTTTGAAATGGTAAAAATTTCCTTTATCCTGCCTAGCATGTTGTGCATCTTTTTGTACTTTCATTGAATATTTCTATTTGCCATCTTGTAATATGCCAATTCCCTATCATTTGTTCATTTTTCTATGAGGCTGCTTATTTTTATTATCAACTTGGGAGAATCCTTTACTATTCATAGTAAAACTGTCATGTCAAAAATATTTCACCCAATCTGTCTATTGACTTGATTTGTGATGTCATGATGTCTTGCCAAAGGTTTTAAGACTTCTTTATATTACAGATTTTTTATTTCCTGTCCTGGTTTAAAAGCACAAAATCTTATTTAAGGGCATAAAACACAGTATCTGAAAAAAAACCTGGATGGAAAAACTTAATAAAACTGCCATTCTCCCTAAAGTTAATATCTACATTCCTATAAGAATCCCCATGCAGACTTTCTTATTAATAAAATGACCTTAATATTCACATGAAAAAAAATAACAAAATTGAGAAGGGGGCAATTGTCTTTTTTTTTTTATTGCCTTTTCAATTGCACCTGTAAAGTATTGTACATACCACATGTAAATATATAGAACATATAACACAAGTGGTATTTCAAACTGTAAGAAAAAGATGGTTATTCAAGTATCTAGTTTTAGAACAACTGGTTATTCAGTAGAAAATAAAGTAGAACCCCAATTTTGGGGCATTATAAAAATAATTCTAGATGAATTAAATACCTAAATGTTAGTTTGAAGTAAAAAACAATTTTTTGAAGAAAATTCAAATAACTACTTGGACATCCTGGAGACTGAGTTTATAAAGGGGAAAAAAAACCTCTCATCAAAATGTCAAGATTACAAATTACATAAAAATATTCTTATTTTTTTGTTTAGTACCTTTGATATCACTTTCTTAAAAAATATGTATATTTAATTGATTTTTTTACAGAGAGGAAGAGAGAGGGATAGTTAGAAACATCGATGAGGGAGAATCACCGATCAGCTGCCTCCTGCACACCCCCGACTGGGGATGTGCCCGCAACCAAGGTACATGCCCTTGACCAGAATCGAACCCGGGACCCTTCAGTCCGCAGGCCGACGCTCTATCCACTAAGCCAAACCGTTTTCGGCATACCACTTCTTTATGGGTATAAATAAAAAGCTATTTTAAAAAATTTAAGGAGTTCAAAAGGAGATGAAGGAAGCATTAGAATGGTTATAAAACTGCTTCTGCATGAAATTACGCACCTGTCGATCTACCTCTGGAAGCAGTAAAAGCAGTCGCTGTTGGCAATCTCCAGGAAGGACTGAAAAGGTGTGCTTGTTGATCAGTGCTCGAAGATTTGTATTAACCAGAATGGAATCTGGTGTCTCAACATCAATTTCAGCACATTTAGTCCTTTTCATTTGCCCTACAAAAATAAGAAAAAGAATCATTTGGGCCTCCTTCAAATTCCTGTTTATATATAAACTACAGCATGTTCTGCAATGCAAATAAATAAATAAATAAATAAACAAATAAATAGACATCCATAACTGTATGTATTTTAAATGTCATATTATGAAGAAGGTAACACTTAAGGCTCTTAGAAATTTCTTCTAAGACTAACAAAGCAAGTTTTGTTCATTCATAAAGGATAAAAAAATATAATTTATCTTCTGTGCAAAAAATAGACAAGGTCTATAAAATTGAATCTTCTGCCATAATAAAAGTACATTTTATGTATGTTTGAGAACTGGATATTTCCCAAATAGAATTGAGGAAGTTTATGATAAATAACATATATACTAAATTTGATTTAAAAAAATAGAAAAATTCAAATCTATATATAAATTATACTGAGGCCCTTGTTCTCTTCCCATGAAAATTTTTGATGCTCAACCACTGAGCCATGCTGGCTGGGCCAAATAACTTTTCTTTTTAAAAATTCTTAATTGAATTTATTGGGGTGATACATCCTATATAATAAAGAGGCAATATGCAAATTGGTCCTCATGCCCTCACATCATAAGATGGCAGCCCAGGGGAGGGCAATTGGGAGCTACCAGGCCTGTCTCACCCTCTCTACTATGATCCATTATATCTCCAATTCTGGAACTTTTCTGGTAGTCTACAGACTTAAGCTGGCTTGTTTATTACTGGCATCTGCTACTCAGCTCTGTGAAATACCCATCCAGTTTTCATCTTTCAAAGTTGCTGACATTGCCTACCCATCTGCTATCTCCTTGTTTTCTTTACCCTTATGGGTTTAAGCTTTTGTATTTCCATATTCTCATTTTTGTGGGATTCAGAGGGAGCAGGAAGAAAAATGTCCCACTTGCCAGGTTTAATTATAAGCCCTTTCTGTACAGTTAATAAAACGTAAATAATGCCAGACAAAGCAACTTATGATCAGAAAAATAAATAAACCACAAAGATGGCCTGATAACAGATCTTATTCTGAATAAAGTTTGGTAAGGACAGGACAAGACAATGTTCAAGACCTCATAAGTGAACAGGAAGTAAAATTAAGCCATGTAGTGATGAATTTCAGATACTGCGCTGATAAATTATTTTGATAAAAACATCAAGTCTTTGTAAATTAACTTACTTGTGTGGAGTCTGTCAGACCTTTGGAATGACTTCTTCCCCAGCCCTAACAAAGGATTTTCCACTTTAGCTGATGAAGAAAAGCTAGAGTTTGAGTTCTGGGAGCTGCTTGACTGTCCATCAGATTGCTTTCCTTCCCAAACTGCTAGGGAAAAATATATAAAAACTGGTGACATTAAGGTTATAGGTAGAAATCATTTAACCAAACAATTAAACCATTCAACACTAACTAAAAGTAGTTATGTATGAGGCAAGGTAACCTTGCAAATATGTTTTGAGTGTGAGAATTAAGCCTCAAAAAAAAGTAAAATCCTGCCCGGTTGGTGTGGTTTAGCAGTTAAGCGTCAACCCAGGAACCAAGAGGTTGCTGGTTCTGTTGCTGGTTTGATTCCCGGTCAGGGCACATGCCAGGATTTTGGGCTTGATCCCCAGAGGGGGGCATGCAGGATGCAGCCAATCAATGATACTCTTCTCTTATCGATGTTTCTATCTCTCTATCCCTCTCCCTCTCTTTAAAAATCAATAAAAAAACATTTTTTAAAAAGGTAAAATCCCTTATTTCCTCTCAGCACATTATTGCCTTTTGGTGGTAAATTTCCTTCCTAACATAAATGGAAAGTTCTGCAAAATACAGTTTAAATCTGGCAGGCTCATATAATTAACTGGCATCAAAATGAATTGCATAATAAAATACAAAGTCTACATCCAAACCAGTTTAGATTAAAAACAAAGTAAGCAACAACAACAACTCTAAAGAACTGTAGATCTGTCCAATGGAAATTCAAAGGCTGCATATATGTTTAGTAAGACCTTTTCTTTTTACTTTTTTATTAAATATATTTTTATTGATTTCAAAGATGAAGGTAGAGAGAGAGAGAAACATCAATGATGAGAGAGAATCATTGATTGGTTGCCTCCTGCAAGTTCCACACTGGGGATCGAGCCTGAAACCGAGGCATGTGCCCTGACCAGGAATTGAACCCGTGATCTTCTGGTTCATAGGTTGATGCTAAACCACTGAGCCACGGCAGCTAGGCAAAACCTTTTCTTTTTAAAGGAGGTAATTTGTGAAGAGTTCAGTTTGAGCATCTTTTGGAAACATCAGCTTTCTAAGGTTATTGATCAGCAGCTTCCAAATATTACTAAGACATCTTGGAAGTTACATTACTCATGGATTTCATTCTAACATACAAATCCCACTTATATATTTCTTAATAACTGCATGAATATTTGCATAAATTTTATGTTTACCTTGGAAAGATTTACTATAAGTCAATGATTTGGCAGTGTAAGAATTATGTAAATAAATACAATAATTTAAAAATAAATGCTATAGTATACAGATCGGAAAACCAACATGAAACTACCAGGAAAAAAAACTTCCATTGATTAAAGATTAAGCAAAAAAAAAAAACCAAAATAAAACAAGACAACCAAAACCCCCCTCAGAGACAGACAATAGTACAGTGATTATTAGAGACCAGGAGACAAGAGAGGGTAATGTGGAGGATAAATGGTGTGGAAGGAGACTTCACTTGTGATAGTGAGCACACAATACAATATACAGGTGATGTATTATAGAATTGTTCCTATGAAACCCATGTAATTTTATTTTCCAATGTCAATCCAATAAATCCAATTAAGAAATAAAATAAAATAATAAAAGTAAAGAAGCTTCCATTGAAAAGACTCTCCCATCTACCTACCAGATTTGGCAGTCTCTACCTACCAGATTTGGTAGTCACAGAGTCACTGGCAGCTTTGACAGCCTTCAGAGAGAGATGCTGACTGGAGGAGAGGGCCATACTTGGCCGGCATTGCTGCTGCTGCTTCCGCTGCTGCTGCTGCTTTAGAGCCTAGAAAGAGAAAAAAGACAATCAGTTTTAGTAATATGAAAAAGTAAATGACTTATTAAGCAGTAAAGAGCATGCAATTTTTTGCTATTATAAACTTTAATACAAATATTATTCTGTGTTTTTATGTATATACTAGAGGCCTGGTGCACAAATTTGTGCACAAGTGGGATCCGGCTGGCCTGCTCCATGGACGGTCCATAGGGCAGGGCCATCAGGGGGAGGGGGGGCAGTGGGCAGTTGGCTGGCCCCACCCATGATCAGGGTGTTGGGGGTCAATCAGGGGTGAAGCTGGCCAGGGGGAGGGACAGACTGGGGCTCAGATGAGGCTGGTTGGCTGCTGCAGTGCACATCATAGCCACCAGTCATTCTGGTCGGTCTGCCGTTATGGTTGCTGGGCTTTTATATATATATATATATATATATATATATATATATATATATATATATATATATATATATATATATATTTTTTTTTCCCCCCTTAATATTAGTTCTAAAATGTTCAACTGTTTAGTTATGGGGTGTATATTTTAAAATTTTAATAAATAAACCCTGGCTGGTATGGCTCAGTTGGTTGAGGGATTACCAGTTCAATACCAGATCAGGGCACATTCCCAGGTTGCGGGCTTGATACCTGATAGGTGGTATTCAAGACAAAGCTGATCAATGTTTCTCTGTCTCATTCATGTTTCTCTCTCTTTCTGTCCTTCTCCCTTACTCTTTCTTTAAAAACCAATAAAAACATATTTAAAGAATAAAAGAAATAATTAAGTTTTAATAAATGTTACAAAATCTGTCTCCTAAGTAACTATAATTTATATTCTACCAACAAATTACAGTAGCCATTTTCCCACACACTTGCCAATACTTGATATAATTAAGATTTTTATAACAATCTGAGAATTAAAGTAGTCCACTATTTTCATGATTTCTTAACTACTAGTGAGTTTCTATTTATTGACCATTTGCATTTTAAAAAATCAAAAGCGAATTCTTAGAAAAGCCCAATAAAATAGACAAACTATTGGCTAGTAGCATTGAGGCAGGGAAGGGGGGAGGGGTGTGTGATTCTATATAATAAAACCCTAATATGCAAATCAACCAAATGACAGAATGACCAGTCACTATGATACGCACTGACCACTAGGGGGCAGACACTCACTGCAGGGGATGTTCCTGGTGGTCAGCGTGTTCCCACAGGGGGAGCGCTGCTCAGCCAGAATCCAGGCTCATGCTGGTGAGCACAGCAGCTTGGCAGGACCCTCTCCAAGGCAGCACACTAAGGAGCAGTGAGCCTGGCTGTGGGACCAGTCACTATGACATGCACTGACCACTAGGGGGCAGACACTCACTGCAGGGAATGCCGTTGGTGGTCAGTGTGTTCCCACAGGGGGAGTGCTGCTCAGCCAGAACGCAGGCTCAGGGATGGTGAGCACAGCAGTGGTGGCGAGAGCCTTTCCTGCCTCCGCTGCAGCACTAAGAACCCCTTGGCGGACATTCCCTGAGGGGATCCCAGACTGCGAGACAACACAGGCCGGGTTGAGGGGACTCCCCCTATCCCCCATGAATGAATGTCATCCACTGGCCTCTAGTACATTATAAATGAACAACAATGAAGAACAAAAAAAGTGACATATAAAAATGCTATGTGTAACTTTATACCAATATTTGAAAAAAATCAGGTGAAATGGATCATTTTCTAAGAAAAGTAAATTTCCAAATTTGGCTCCACAAGCAGAAAACCAAGAGACTAGTAAAAGCAGATAAAGTAAAATTGAAATGCTAGGAAGACAATTTTAAAGAGTGAGATTTACAGAATTTTCAAGAAAAAGATAAATTATTCAAAATCTTAGAAACCTAGAAAAATACAGGATGTTCCAAAAAATGTATACACACTTTGAATAATTATTAATTCCAATAAGTTAAATCTGAAAAGAAAGAAACATCAATGGAGCTATCAGCTGTTGAAGTGTATACACTTATGGCTGTGGGGGGGAGGGGGACACCCTGTAGAGAGAGCTACACAATTTAGTTTAGGATGTTAGAACAATCTTGATTCCAAAATTGTTTCTGGATAGCACAAAAGAAAACAACAACAACAACAAAAAACCTCAACAAAATCCAAGCTAAAATCTTTTCTTTCCCTAAGCTAAAATCTTAAAGAAAATGCCATAACATACATAAAAATATATAACAATCATAGTTTATTTTAGAGAGCTAAGTATAGATGAGCATAAAAACCTAGCCCAGCTGGTGTTGCTCAGTTGTTGATCAACTACCTATGAACCAGGCGGTCACAGTTGGATTCCCAGTAAGGGCACATGACAGGGGTGCAGGCTTGATCCCCAGTAGGGGTCATGCAGGAGGCAGCTCATCAATGATTCTCATCATTGATGTTTCTATCTCTCCCTCCATCACCCTTTCTCTCTAAAATCAATAAAAAATAAATCTAGTCGTGGAATTTTATATATTACTAGATTTAAAGAAGAAAGCCACCTGATTATCTCAATAAATGTTGAAGAAAACAAACCTGAAAAACTCAACAACTATTCATAATTTTTAAAATGAGCACATACACAAACAAAAACCTCTTAGCAAATTAGGAACACATAAAATGTGATCAAAAGAGTATATGCCACAAACCAATGACTCAGAGATACATACATTATAAAGTACTAATTGGGAAACTGCATGAAATTTCTCCTTAAAAGAACATAATGTCCTTCCAAGAAATTTTTAATGGCTGCCAGTCATGCATTTTTAATGTAAGAGATTATGCTTCTAATAAACAGAGACTACCATAATTACCTGCTTTAGTGCCTTCTTGCTGTGCTTCTGTGATGGAGATATGACTTTACCTGCTGGAATTGTGGGTGATGGGCAACCTGACTGGGGAGAAGATGGCTGTGACAGTCTAGATGATACTAAGGGGGAAAATGACAATGAAAAATTTGTTATCAGAGTTGATATCAAGCACCATGCCTTCCCCAATCATATTCTGCTACCTGTATTAAGAACTGTGACCAAACACTTTTGGGAAGGATCTTCTTTTTGGAGTTCTACGGCAAACAGCCTCCCTTTTCAGTTTATTTCCTCAGAAAGCTCTAGTGAAGGATGATAGGATGGGGAAGGGGTGGATGTTAGTATTCATACCTTTTCATTCTTTAATTTTTCAAAAGAATTGATTGAAGAAACAGGAAGCAGAATGTAAACCATTAGTCACCAAATTAGATAAACTTAGAAAAGATTCTAAAGCCTGTTGGACAGTATGTATGTTCTTAAAGTAAATCTAACAACATGATACAGTGGAAGAAACCTGGGTTGATAGAATACCTCCCGGTTTTCCTTATCTTTAAAATAAAGGCAATAAGGCCATTCCACCGCAAAAACTCTAGTACAGCTTCAATACTGCTATTTCCACATCTCTTAAACCAATAGTTTTAGCGATACTACGGTGAGAGGACATTTGAGGATTTCCCTAATGGAAGCAATGTAGGTTGACAAATGTAAACAACTCTCTCCTTCATTACTAGCTGTTTTATACTCCAGAGCTTAGCCCAACCTCAGTCTTACCCTCCAAGAGCCTATACCTCTTAAATAAAGCATAACTGATCTTTGTTTTATAAAGTTTAACAGTGCATTATCTATGATGGGACAAATTGTTGATTCAGACCCCTTAACAATAAAAATAATCACTACTACTAGTGATGACTTTAAAGAGTGCATGGGTAGGGCCCCTAGGCCTGGCTGGCGATCAGGACTGATCTGTGTTCACTAATGCCTTCTCCTTTAATAGTAGTTGGAAAAAGGCTTAGTAGCAAAATGGAATACCATAGTGTGGGCTAAAGAGCTTTAAGATACCGAATCAGGTATGTTGGTAGGTAGCTACTTAACATGACAATGCAGAAGCATGGTTCACTGGAATACAAAGGTTTTGAAATAGAGCATTTCAATTGTCTCTTAGATATCCTAAGAAAAGAATATACAGTAAATAACATTTTCAAGAGGACAAAAGCAGAGAATATTAAAATGACTTATCTATGTAGCTTTAGCTTTATATTTCAACCCTTATGATAGAGTTCAGTGGTCACCAACCTTTCAGACCTCATGGACCACTAAATTCATAATTTTAAAACCCGTGAACCACTAATACTTTTAAAAAGATAAATACATTTGTAAACTAATAATTAGAGCACTTCCATCTTATTAATATGAAATGCACCTATTTAATATAACATTATAAGTACTTGTTTAATCATAACAAGATCTTCAAATGTTGTTTAATTATAACAAATTTATTAAATTTTACAAAATAATGGAAGCTTATATAAATACTAGGGGCCTGATGCATAAAATTCGTGCAAGGGTAGGGTCCCTAGGTCTGGCTGGCGATCAGGACTGGTCTGTGGGGTGACCAGCAGGGCTAGGGGGGCCTCTGCTGGCACCTGCCTTGACTGGCTTGGGGCCCGTGGGCTGGGGGAAGCTCTTGCGTTGAGCATCTGCCCCTGGTGGTTAGTCCACATCATAGTGACTGGTTGTTCCACCGTTCTGTCAATTTGCATATTAGTCTTTTATTATATAGGACTAAAGCCCCGGTGCATGAAATTCGTGCAGGGGGTGGGGGTTGTCCCTCAACCCAGCCTGCACTCTCTCTAATCTGGGAACTTTGAGGGTTGTTTGATTGCCCGTTTATTTATTTATTTAAAATATATTTTATTGATTTATTACAGAGAGGAAGGGAGAAGGATAGAGAGTTAGAAACATCGATAAGAGAGAAACATCTATCGGTTGCCTCCTGCACACCCCCTACTGGGGATATGCTTGCAACCAAGGTACATGCTCTTGACTGGAATCGAACCTGGGACAGTTCAGTCCACTGGCCAATGCTCTATCCACTGAGCCAAACTGGTCAGGGCTCGACTGCCCGTTTACAGGGATCGAGTCATAGGGGTGTGGCCAGCCTGGGTGAGGAGCTGATGACTATTTGCAGAGTGGCCATAGTCCCTTCAAGGTGGGGGTTCCTGCTGGGATGCCTGGCCAGCCTGGGTGAGGGGCTGAGGGCTGTTTTCAGGCTGCCCATATCCTGTTTAGGGTGGGGGTCCCCATTGGGGTGCCTGGCCAGCCTGGGTGAGGGGCTAATGGCTGTTTACAGGCTGGCCACACCCCTGGTGACCCAAGCTCCCAGCCTCTCCTTTTTTTCTTTTCCTTTCTTTTTTCAGCACCTCCTTGAGCAGAGGCCAGGGCAGAGTGGAAGCAGGTATCTGGGATTTATTTATCTTCTATAATTGAAACTTTGTAGCCTTGAGCAGAGGCCATGGGAAGCGGGAAGCTTGGCTTCCTCCACCACTGGGGGCAACCCAAGCCTCCTGCTCACTCCAGCTCTATGGCTTCCACCACCTTTGTTGGGTTAATTTGCATACTCACTTCTGATTGACTGGTGGGTATAGCCGAGTGATGGTCAATTTGCATGTTTCTCTTTTATTAGTGTAGATTACACATTTTTAGAGTGTGGTATTTACTCCTGTTGGCTTAAAATAAGTTTATGGATTCTTGGCTCTAATGCCATTACTGCAAGAGAGCTGTATTTATTTCAAGCTGAGATTGGTACTGAGTTTTAATTGCTGTGACAGATGAAAATGTTTTTTTCACATAAATATGTTGTTGGAAATTGAATAAAAATTTTCAGCTTTTTCACTCCCCAATAAGTATTCACTTTTAATGGAGATAAAAAAATGAGGTCTTGGTAAGGATAACTGGAATTTAGCTTTGAGACTGTTGTCGGGTGATAGATCGATGAGGCTTTCTTTTTCAATCATGCTTAAATTGCTATCTTCAATGTTTGCTACAAATGGGTCTATTATACACATATTGCCATGCCTAGAATCTTCTTTCTTTGGGTAATAACGACCTAAAGATTCTGTGAGTGATTGTAAGTGCTGTTGAACAGATTATCACCTGCCAGTTGACATCCTTCTCTCATATATTCATCTAAAATTTGAAAACATTTGCAGATCTTCTTAAGCCAACCATGTTTACCACAGTAATATTTTCTTTTGAAAAGCATCCACTTTACCTCGTAGTATGAACATGTCCTTAAGTTGTTCTTGAAAGGATATGTTTAGTTCATTTAATAGCGAAAACATATCTGCTAGGTATGCAAGCTTGGCTACCTACTCATCATCAGAGAACAGTTCTTGTAATTTCGGATTATTCTGCCACTGGAAAAATATTTTGACTTCTTCACACAAGGCGAACAGTGTTGGACATATGTTTTGAATTCTCCTGGGTTCATATATAAACTATAACTTTATGTTTAACTTTCTTAGAAACTGCCAAATTGCTTGCCAAAATGGACACATAATTTTAACAGTTCTACCAGAAATATAGAATTTCTTCTAATTTCTCCTTGCCAACACTTGTTACTGTCTTTTTGATTTGACCAATTTTTTTTAAAGGGAAATAATAAAAATAAAGTTTAAAAGTATTAATGTTTAACTAGGTTTGTTTTATTTTTAATGATTTGCATATATCTGAGAATATGTATTTCCTCACCTGTCTCAAAGTCCGCCCCCCTTTTTTTAAAAATATATTTTATTGATTTTTAACAGAGAGGAAGAGAGAGAGATAGAGAGCTAGAAACGTCGATGAGAGAGAAACAGCTGCCTCTTGCACACCCCCTACCGGGGATGTGCCCGCAACTAATGTACATGCCCTTGACCGGAATTGAACCTGGGACCTTTCAGTCCGCAGACCGACGCTCTACCACTGAGCCAAACCAGCTTCGGCTCAAAGCCCTTTTTAACAAACAAAACCACAAACATATCTCACAGCCAACTGAACTAAAGCATAAAGATTCTGAGACCCACCAGTGAAGCAAACTCAAATATACATCTATGTGAGAGAAACACATTGATTGGTTGCCTCACACATGAACCTTTACTGGGGCTGAACATGCAACCCAATTACAGGTTCCTTGACCAGGAATCAATTCCATGACCCTGCACTGCACTGAATGATGCCCTAAACATTAAGCACACCAGCCAGGCCCAGAGTAGCACTTTTAATTTCCTTCACGAACTTTTCCTTTGCATTCACTCTCTGCCTAAATGTTTGATGTTCTTGCCTATCTCGGCTTTGGACGTACCTTCCTTACTAAGTTTAATATTTCTAGTTTTTTACTTAAAGTGAGAAATGCGAGACCCTTCACTTGAACACTTGAAGGCCACTATACGGTTAAGTGGCCTTATTATAATATTATTGTGTCTCAGGGAATAGGGAGGACAAAGGAGAGAAAAAGAAAGGAGGAATGGCCAACTAGTGAAGCCATTCACTTATTGGTGAAGTTCACCATCTTACATGGACACAGTAGGTGGTGCCCCAAAACAATTATAATAATAACCATAACAAATATAATAACAATGAAAAAAATCTGAAATATTGTGAGAATTACCAAAATGTGAACAGGAAGCAAATGCTGTTGGAAAAATGGCATTAACAGACAGGCTCAACACAGGGTTGTCACAAATGTTCACTTTGTAAAAAAACGTAGCATCTGTGAAGCGCAATAAAGTGAAGCGCAATAAAATGAGGTATAATATAAGAAAATAGAATGGAAGAGAATTCTTTCTACCTATATACCAATGGTTAGAAATAAATTGAACTAATATAAACTCTATTGAGTAGAAAAATAAATCAAAGCTAGTATATTAACTCAGATACTAACTGGACAAGTGGATAAAACCAACAGAAAAAGGTCCATAAACAAAAATATTGTTTTAAAAAATACATTTTTATTGATTTCAGAGGAAAGAGCAAGGGAAAGAGATAGTAACATTAATGATGAGAGAGAATCACTGATAGGCTGCTTCCTGCATTCTGCAAACTGGGAATCAAGCCTGCAACCCAGGCATGTATCCTGACAGGA